GTCTTTGCAACATGTATTCTCGTTTTGTAGTATCAACGCGTGGAGAAACCTGGGATGAAAGTGTAGAAGGCGTGGCTACGGTCGGTCGATTGCAGTCGTTTTCTCTTGACTGTGGCGAGGACATGCAGTATCGAAATCAGATAGTTTTGCTCATTTATCGAACTAATGACCAGTTGAACGCACACAGAAGCTATGCCAAAGATATAGTTTGAAATGGTATAATTGACCGCGGAAATGTGATCAGGTTTAGATGGTTATGGGATGCGTAGATCTGCTATTGACGTCACTCTAATTTGACCGGTCCTTCCACTTGGTTCCGCAGGATGACGCTGGTGGGTCCACACAAACTATGGGGAACATTGGATTTTAGTTTCGCATCCACAGTGTGCCGTGATTTGAACCCCAGACATCCGACACGCAATGTGATCATGTTAACACTAGCGTATTCCTTGCTTGAGCAGGCGGGCAATGTGACAGGTTAGTTGAGTGCCTCGACCGACGACCAGGTAGTGTGGACGAATGGATTTGTTTGATTGGTTTGCAAACCAACTCAAATGTGAAAACATTCGTTTGTTGGCGGTTGGCTTGGACGCTCCGCTTGCATGCCCCATGTTCGAATTCCGGCACGACAAAGGAGAAGTGTCAATACGTCAAAATATTGGTAGTTCGCGTGTGTTTACTGGTGGCCGTTGATCTATTCGGTTTAAATTTCCTGTCCAGCGAAGTATACGAAAATCACACTACGAGTTCACTGGTATGTAAGATAATGATGCTTCAGCTGTAACAGTCTTTTAGTGCCTAGCTACCATGCCACCCTCACAGGAAGCACGAGGGCTTGGATACTGCCAGGTTGCACAAACCTAGACATGAGAAGTCGAGTTCGGAACATGGAGCTTTCGGTAAGTAAATTCGCGTTCTAACCACTGGGCCACCTCGCTCTGATACACAGACTTGCAGTTGATCGCACTAGGGTGGCAAATATTCCCGTCATTCTGGTGTTGACGCGTTCACCGGTTGCGCGGAGAATCTTAAAGAATACCGTCATCCTGCGTCAATTGTCTCCTTCTCGTATCGTTACTAGGAAACCATCGGTACTCAGGGTTTTCTTCACAAGGAACCGTCAATGTACACATGTTCACGCGAGAAGAAGTATGTGAGTGACTGCGTAAACAGGCACAGCATGCCGTGAGCTACACGTGAGCTACAATGTGACAAACTACTAATTATGGGAATCTCAAGAGAGAACGGATTCCATCAGTCACTCAACCTGGTAGGTAACTTTCAGCCTCGTTTGGATTGCCAGTCAGGTCTGTCCATTGTGGTTCACTGAAGTCATCGTTATCCGAGTAACCAAGTCACAGAAACTTGAAAGCCTAGCGAGAAACGATACTTGGTTCACTGCTTGGCAGATAGGACCAGAATGATTTCCTCGTCTGACATTCTAGAGCAGGAACTGGCAACTTTAGCAAAAATTTCAGAACGGAACTCCCACCCCCTTGAATTTTTTTTGTTAGAAAGCATATGTAACCTATATTTATGATGGGGTAATAACTCAGCGTCAAAAGAAAGCCAATCCAAAGTGACAACGCTTCAAAGTGCATTACAAACTGGACAAAACGGTCGCTCAGAAGAATGCTTCATGCTGCTGAGCTAAAGCTTTTGTCTCCCCAAAGACACTGTCCTCGCTTTAACAATGCTAGTCTGCTGTTTGTGCGAGTTCTGCAAACTGGGTCGATCAGGCGCTCGTCACAGAGTGTCAGGACCCCTCGGAATGGGGTTAGGCAACAGTACAATCCCAAAGCATTTATTGAATACAGACTACTAAGTCAATCTGACTCAGTCATTTAGTATCATAAATCGGATTCTAAACAATTGATGGAAAGTAGCCCGACAGTCAATCATGAACGCGGCCGAATTGATCATCATCAGACTACTGAGGCCAACACCACCAAGTGTGCAGAAGCGACAGACTGATTGAAGTGATCGTTGATCGGTTAACCCGGAACAAATGTTACTCTTGTCACTTGGCTGTCCTTCACTCCTGTTGCTGTCAGACTACTGGCACCGGATTTCTTTACTCCGTTTTTGTTCACGCTTGTTCAATTTTTCGGAACGGCAGAAGTCAGATGAAACTTACCGAAAACATATATGTTCCCGGTACGAATAGTTCCTTCAAGAAGCATAAATTTGTGGGTGTTGAGGATATTCTGACGTTCTGGTTTTGGATCATGTCCTGAGAGTGAATTCGGCCTACACTGATACGTTCAGATGCACTGGTTTGATGTTGTTTTGTTTTCATAAGCCATCATTAGTGCCTACACAGTATCACTCCAAAAAAGAGACCTCATCGAAGAGAGTTCGTTAGGCAAGCAACCTCCGTCAGATTTTTACAAGGGTACCCATCTCCAAAGAGGTCTGGAAATTACACGATTTCGTTCCTGAGGAACGATTTTACCCTGCCCTCTAAGAACACAAGCCACTTTCGGATGAACAACGTTTTGGACGCAAGCTAGTGGGTGCATTGACGTCGGCTGTGACATCCTTTCGTCACACCCGAAGGAAGCACGAGGGCTGGGATACAGCCAGGTTGCCCAAGTCTAGACAGGGGAAGTCGAAAAGCAGAGGTCGGGTTCGAACCAAGGACCTTTCGATCAGTAAATTCGCGCTCTAACCACTTGGGCCATCTCGCTCCTTCCAAAGTGTCTAAAAACTGGTTCTCCTAGCTGGAGAAATTCGAACTCAGAATGCCATCATCAATCGATAAGGGCTGTGCGTACTCCCACATGGCATGGGACACCATCCTGCTGGACTTCTCAGCAGTTGTCCTCTGGTTCGTCGACGAAGGAAGTGGCCTTTAAAATCGACTTAGCTTGCAGGCCTATCTTTTTTTCTCCTCGTGTACTTGTTGCACACTGTTGGCAATATGACCTTGGGACTGACCGGAAATTTCAAATGGAA